CAGAGTCAATTGATAATATGCTGGAAACTGAAACCCTTGGCCATTCACAGGTTCATATTTAGTCATACAGGTAGAGGTAGGGGTGGTTAGACAAACAGAAAGATAGATAGATACATAAATTACATATAAATTGCATTGATTGTTTCAGTGGAAGAAAATGCAAATTCGACTGTTTAATGGTTTGGAAAAATTGCGAATAATGATAATGCAAATATAAAGATACAGTAAGACATGTATATAGACAAATCTGCAGAAAGGCAGTTAGACAAATATTTTTGTTGATGTTTAGATACTTACACTACTACACTTTATACACTAAACATAGAATAATACTGGGTTACCCTCAAAGGATGAAACTCCAGAGACGACTGAACAGAATAAATTCAGCCTTTTTTCTTACATTTTCGATTCCATGCATATACTTACTTGCATCTTTGCCAAATCATCGATTTTACAGTAAAAGACTAAGACATTCAAATTGGACAGACAGAAAGACAGACAGAAAGACAGACAGAAAGACAGACAGAAAGACAGACAGACAGACAGACAGAAAGACGGACAGACAGACAGACAGAAAGACAGACAGAAAGACGGACAGACAGATAGACAGAAAAACAGACAGACAGACTGTCAGAAAGACAGACAGAAAGACAGACAGACAGACAGAAAGACAGACAGAAAGACGAACAGACAGACAGACAGAAAGACAGACAGACAGACAGACAGACAAACAGAAAGACAGACAGAAAGACGGACAGACAGACAGACAGAAAGACAGACAGAAAGACGGACAGACAAACAGACATAAAGACAGACAGACAGACTGACAGAAAGACAGACAGAAGGACAGACAGACTTTTAGAAATGTGAGAATCTAAATCTAAAATAAATACTTTACCGTAGTAAAAATCGATGAATAAAAGATGAAGAATTACATCACAACTTTGAAATGAAATTACAGAAAATGTTTACGTCTTATTTATTGTGTTTATATTTGTATTCTGCTAATGAATGCTGTGTAAGCACTTAACTGTAAATATTCTTGGAGTTGTACTATTTTATTATTTTATTGGCAAAAAGCTGTTTTGCGCAATTGTGCAAAAAGTGTATTTACCTCCACACTTTTTACCCCCTCCTCTTTCTTCAGTGTATCCCCGTCCCCTCTCATCGTTTTACAACGGGGGTCATCCATTTCAAACTTTTTATTTGAGCAGCATTTCTTAAAGGGATTGTTCAGTGTTCCCTTATCTGAAAACACAAATAACCACACAATTTTGGAATCATTAATTTTTACCGCTCGATTCCCTGATTCAGTCAATGTTTTATAGATTTGTTTGATATTCTCAGTTCATTTTCAAATATTAGGTTTTAGTAAGAATCCCTTTTGTTCCAGGTGGGATGTAAACTAAAAGAAGGTGTAATTAAAGGAACTGTAAGCGTAATTTCAAGTGACCCTCCATGCAAAGATGGCAATGCTCGATACACAACGGTACCCTTGAAAGCTTTATCTGATGACAAATGTGGAAGATATTGTCACTTTTCCAGGTTTAAAAGTGTTCCTAGCTTAATTCTTTTAGAAATGCGCAAATCACTTTTGAAGAGAAATTTCAAAATGAAAGTAAACAGTATTTAAAATTATAAATATTGATACCTAATTAATACTTGTTTAGATCAGTTGTTAAGAGTACCGTACTTTTCTTTCGGTTAGTGTACTGCAGATCCCTGCAGTGCACATGGAAAGATTTGTTTAGGGTGGGTGACTTGAAATTAGTCTTACAGTCCCTTTAATATAGACTTATAAAAAGTAAATATTATGTAAAAAAAATAAGATGGGCTTGGTAAATACAAGACAGAGAAACGAAAGATAAAAATTCAGATTCTTTTCATGTATTTGGCTTTTGTCTGTATGTCCGAGGATTTGTTAGTTTGTTTGTATACAAAAAGAAACATCACAAAGCTAGGCACAAATTTTAAAAGACCGCTGAAGGGTTCATTTTTAAAGTTTTAAAGCCTATAGAGATATAAAAAAGTTGGCATTAAATTATCATGAAAATATTTAAATATCCTCATTAACATTAAACATGTCTGACAACCTCTATCAAAATAAGTGCATTAATGGTTTTAAATTGAAAAACTTCATAAACTGAGTAAGTCATGGTTTGAGGGAAACTCTAAAGCCAACATCAGTTATTAAAAAGAATTAAGCATTCTTGTCAAAACTCAAAAGGACTTTAACCATAATTACTAACTTATCAATGCGTTTACGCTTTAAAGGATTCTAATTATCTCCTAGTTATTAAAAATACCATGTTTTGGATTTGCTTGAGTTTTGTGGAAAGACGAAAAGTAAAGAGATTATTTGAAGATTTCTAAATATATGAATATCAGACATAAATCTTGTTTTGTCTTTTACTAGTTTTATCCTTTTCTTTTACATAAACTATAAAAAATAGAATTCAAAACTCTTGCCGATGAAAGAGTGAAAAAAGCCGTAATAACTCAGACGGAATGAATTTCATACTTAAACCCTGTATCCACCCCAGAGAGGTAAGTACTTAAAGGGACTGTAAACGTAATTTCAAGTGACCCAAATTAAAGATATGGAGGCTTGATTCACTTTTGAAGCAAAGAAAGTTTTGTCTGATCAAGAGTGCGCGATATATCTATATTGAATCTTTAAAAAGAAGTACTGTGACTGTGAGCGTAATTTCAAGTGACCCTTCATGCGAAGATGGCAATGCCCGATTCACAACTGTACCCTCTTCCTCAGATAAAGTATGAATTATATCAATGTTTATAATTTTAAAACTGTTTTTTTTCAATTGTGCTTTCCCTAGAACAGTAACTATCACATTTTTACTATAGAAAACATTGAAGAACTATCAAAATTAAACAATTTAAAGTTAGAAAAACAACGATATTCTCTCCTGGGTAACGAGGGCCTATAGCTGGATTGTTCTCTCCTCGTTAGTTTTTTTCCGTTCCGTTCTTTGCATGTGTTAATGATCAAGAACGGTTTCCGCCGTTCGTTAACGGTGGTTAATCTGTAACGATAGATGATTGTTACCGATGTTTAATCTTTTATGATGTTGATATCTTATTAAAAATGGTCAGTTAGGGGTTGGCGAAACTTGCTAAAGTCGGAAGGTATGGAGACTATATGCAGATATAAACTTGCTAAAGTCGGAAGGTATGGAGACTATATGCAGATATAAACTTGCTAAAGTCGGAAGGTATGGAGACTATATGCAGATATAAACTTGCTAAAGTCGATGGAGACTATATGCAGATATAAACTTGCTAAAGTCGGAAGGTATGGAGACTATATGCAGATATAAAGAAACTAAGTTTTTCCCAAAAGCTGAAAATTTCTAATCTAATTTTTAATTTCTCATTTCTAATCTAATTTCTAATCTAATTTTTAATTTCTCATTTCTAATCTAATTTCTAATCTAATTTTTAATTTCTCATTTCATATCTCTGCAACATTATCATTTTTTGTTTATTTAAAATAGTTCCCTAAAATGAAGTAGAATCTTAATGTGTAATGTCTGTTAAACTAAAACTTAAAGTGTATTTTTTTTAAACCTTAAATCCGTTTCTCAATTAGCAGATTATTTAGATTTTAAGTTTAAAGCTAAAAGCCACAACACGATTTTTTTATATTACGAGAAACCCCATTTATTATTCTTAAATAAGTGAGAAATGTGACAAGCAATTAACTATTGCGACAGGCAGCAAAGGATAAAAATTATATTAAATAATAGGTTGTTTAGGACCCACGAAAGCTTTTTTAAGTTTCAGGGTGAGTCGAAAATAAGAGTGATTAGCGGCGTTTGAAGCAAAATTGAACCTTTTTTGTGCAAATCTCCTAAATGGTATTTTTTCAATATTATTGAATAAAAAAATTTTATTTTTTTTGGTACTCAACGGTCTAGAGGTGCACAAAAAAAGTACAATTTGCACCAGACGCCGCTAATCATACTTTTATTTGAATCACCCTGTACATAAAATAAATTAAAAACTGAAATTCTAAATAAAATTGTGTTTAAATCACTGAAAAGTAACCTTGCTTGCCGCCACCTATGGACACAGCAGTCCAACAAGAAAGTGGCGGCTACATATTCAACCAATCAGATGTCGAAGTGTCTCCCACAGTGGTGATTTATTGCTTTCAATGTCGAAACCACTTTTTACAAAATGTTCAGAAAAAACGTTGCATCTAGAAACTTTTCAGGTTTAACTATTGGCAGGCTAATAAACTGACAGACAACAGACAAAATTACATGCTGACAAACAGACGAAAGACTTACAGACACAGAACAGACGTTCAGGCTGTCGGCCAAAGAAAGACTATCTGACGTAAATGATCAAGCTTACAAAGATACGAAATACTGACAAACACAGGAGAGAGACTTACAGAGACAGGACAGACTCACGGGTGAAAGACTAACAGACACAAGACAGGCGTAAAGACTGACAATGAGACGAAAGACTAACAGTAAACAGACACAGGACAGATTCAGGGTCTGAAAGACAGACGAAAAACTAACAGACATAAGACATACGTAGTATGTACAGGCTCGAAAAAGTGATGAAAAACCGATGGACACAGAACAGACTCACAAGAATATAAACGAAAGACTAAAACTAACAGTAAAACACATATTAAATACTAACAGACAAAAAACAGAGGTAATGGTTTACTAACAGACATACAATAAACTGATAGACTTATAACATAACTAACACGATAGATTAACATATATATACCGGACAGAAAGAAATACTGATGAATAAAAATGAAAAAAAAACTATACATATATCGTATTCACAACAAGTAAAGTTTTTAAAGGCAAATTTCGTTTCAAATATGAAAGAAAAATTAAATATTTTGTTAAAATACTAATTTAATAGCATAGATTGAATTTCAGACTATTTTATTTTTTATTTAAAAATTTCATATTATTATGAAAGTTGTGAAGAAACCCTGTTTTCAAACAAAACTTGCGGATTTCAGAATGTGCAAACATGCGCAATGCCCCGTTTTCCTATGGATTGGAGCTCTCGGGACACACCCTGGGGGCGTTCCCAGGCTTGGGGTACGCCCCCGACTCGGGTTAAGGGGCCTGGGACCCATCCAGTGACACAAGGACATGCGGGCCCCTCGGTCCCCGCCTCCTGGACTAATCTTGTTTACAAATTCGGTGATTTCCAGGGAAACAAACCTTGCTTAATTTTTGACCAAAAACGTTTAAACTCATTTTTCACAATTTACTAATTATATTAAAGCAAGAAATATTTACCATTTTAAAAATAAAAGATTGATATGTAAAAAATATAATTTTTGAATTTTAGAGTTGGCCATTATTTACATTACAAAAACATTAACTAAAACCTTCCTTAAAATTAAATTTTCTAATCCTTATCTCTTTGCAACCTAATGTACATCTTTGATATTTCAAACCATAAAATCTGTTTGATTATAAAGTGAAAGTTTGAAATATCAAGATTTCCACTGTCAGGTTGCAAACATTAGGGATAAGTAAATTAAAGTTTGAGACTAGGGTCAGTTCATTTTATATATTAATTCCTTCATTCTAAAATTTTAAAAATTTTAAAAATCAGAAGAATCCAACATGATTTAAAACAAAAAATAAATCATGTAAAAACCCAAAATGAAAGATGAACAACATTATTTTCGAAATTTGATCAATTTTTCAGTTTTAATAGAAAACGTATCTAATAAATGTAATAAAAGTAATTACAACGTAAAAACTCTTTTTAAGTTTTATTCTCAAAACTTGGTATTCAATTTAAACTTTTAAATATGATATATATTTTTAATTAAAACATTTAAACCAACATTTTTTTTTCTTGTTTTGATAATCTTTTAGGCTTTAATTTGAATGTTATCAGCATTATGTCATTAAATGTTAAAGGGAATATAGCTAGACGAATGTTAAAGGGAATATAGCTAGACGAATGTTAAAGGGAATATAGCTAGACGAATGTTAAAGGGAATATAGCTAAACGAATGTTAAAGGGAATATAGCTAAACGAATGTTAAAGGGAATATAGCTAGACGAATGTTAAAGGAAATATAGCTAGACGAATGTTAAAGGAAATATAGCTAGACGAATGTTAAAGGGAATATAGCTAAACGAATGTTAAAGGAAATATAGCTAGACGAATGTTAAAGGGAATACAGCTAGACGAATGTTAAAGGAAATATAGTTAGACGAATGTTAAAGGGAATATAGCTAAACGAATGTTAAAGGGAATATAGCTAGACGAATGTTAAAAGGAATAAAGCTAGACGAATGTTAAAGGGAATATAGCTAGACGAATGTTAAAGAGAATATAGCTAGACGAATGTTAAATGTTAAAGGGAATATAGCTAGACGAATGATAAAGGGAATATAGCTAAACGAATATTAAATGTTAAAGGGAATATAGCTAGACGAATATTAAAGGGACTATAGCTAGACGAATGACCAATTCACAAAAGTAACCTTAAAATTTTTGTTTGATCAAGTATGATTAAGATATCCATGTTTGTTTTTCAAAACTGATTATTTTTAATTGTGGTTTCTCTGCAAAAGTTTGACTGCAGAAACAATGGGGAACACTTTTCAGAAATAGAAATACAGCCATATATATATCCACCATATTATTGATTATATGCGAAGGTTTCCTATAGGAAACGTAATGAGTCTGCCAGGCATGATGCCCCTCTTTAAATTATATCAACAGTCTCTTGATGCTGAAGATTTAATTAATTTTCTAATTGTATATTGAAGTTTGGTTTGGTTTAGTCTACTCTTACCCATCTGGTAGAAGTACATCAGGACATGTGCCAGTGTGAAAATACCCAGGTATACTTTTANCTATTTCCAACTGATGGTTTCTTAAAACATAGAAAAAAACAAAAAACGAAACGATCGCTTTTAACAAGAATCGGTTTTCAAAATTTAAAAAAAGAATTAATAGTTTTTTTTCTAATTTGTCGCTTCTTTAACAAAGGTAAGTATTTTTTTAATTTTTACTATCGTTAACGATTCTTACTAACGTTTGTGTCGTTTTTTCCAGGAAAATATCGAGTAGTTTTAACTCTTTGCGCGTTTTTTTCAGGAAAATATCAAGTAGTTTTAACTCTTTGCGCGTTTTTATGTACTAAAGCGACTAGGACCACGTCTCATCATCAAACCATTAGCCTACCTAACCTATTCTAAGATATAATACAAATCCTTAGATCAGAAAAACCATAGGTGAAAAAACACTAGGGTGAGTTTCCTTTAGGTCGGATTAACGGTCACATATATATTAAACAAATATGTATGATGATATCCATACACATAAAATATTTAAAAACCGAACTTTTTTCAGTAAAACTAATCATCGTTTCGGTATTGGATTTAAAAGTTCAAAATTAACAGTTGGTTAGTTTTAATCCTTTTTTTCGTTAGGTTTCGAAAATAAAAACAAAACGCAAACGATCGCTTTTTGTTCGCAATGCCCATCCTTACTCACACACACGAGTACAAATTTGTTAAATGAAAATTTTATAAAGGATGAGGGTTTAACTAGAGCCTGGTCAGGGAAAAAGTTTCATTTTCTTCAAATTCAGAAAACCTCCGGTCTCTTTCTCCAGGAGTTCTTAGAAAGGTATTTTCTTAAAGGGAAAGATTAATAAAGTGACACAAAAAGCATCCATAATTTTTTTAGTTTTAATAAAGAAAATAAAAAAAACTTTAAAATTTTGTAATATAAAGAGAGTATGGTGTTTTTTTATTTATTTGTTCTGAGTCTGTTTGAGTTTTTTCAAAATAACTCAACAATTTAAGTAAGCTATTTCATTCGACGATTTCTAAACTTAAAAATTTGAAATAAATCAAAATTGTTAATATTTCATTTTTCTGTTTTCCTTAAATACAATTTGAAGATGAATAAAGAACGTCTTTCATAAGTTATCTATAAATACATGTTTGACTTTTTTCATTTAGGGCTCTTCGTGTACTTGTATCCTGTGACTTAAGCAACGTAAAACCAATCTCGGATGCTGAATTCTGGTCCCAGGTTCACACAGTAAATCCTGTACAGTCTGTACAAGGTAACTAAATTGTTAACATATTTTTTAAATTAATATATTTTAAATTTTAAAAGAAATATCTACTAATCTTTTAATATGTGCAAATGGAGATCGTTAAGTTTTAAAACATTTTTTAGAGATTTTATAGATTTGTTGTCAAGTTACCAAAATAATTGCACTTTTTCCATTCCAAAGCATCCTTTTGCCAGCATAGCTTTATTTTTATTTTTATATTTAACCTGATTTTAGGAAACTATATTGCAATATCAGCGCCTATTCTAATGTTAGCAAGATACATAAAAATTCTAGTAAAGAACTATCATCAATATGACATTAGCTTCATTTAATACATTTGAAATTATTTCAAATGTATTAAATGATTTTAAAAAAATTGAAATGAAAAATATGTTTATTTGTGTTGTTTGTTGGCTTATTTGTTGTATTCAAAAAACATAAAAACGGCTGAACCGATCGGGTTAAAATACCACATGACTCCAGGGCAGGTGTCTGGCTGGTCATGAAATAATTTTGCAAAGAAAAAAAATCACGATTTTTGAATTTTTTTTTTTAGATTTATGAAAATATCTGGAAAAATCTGCAAGATTTTTACAACTACTTAAAAATGGCAATATCTGAACTATAAAACTGTTTATATAAAAAGCTAGGCGTGAATCACCCTGAAAGCTTAATGTTTTAGAATACACTACTGGAGCCAACAGCTTAGAAGATGATCTTGAGGAAATCAACCATCTTATTGCTGAAGATCTGAAAACTGAAAAAGAGAGATCCTCCTGGCAGGTATATACTATGATCATCAAAACAACACTTTTTTCTTGAAAACTAGATATGATGCTACAATTAATAAAGCAGAAACCCAAAACTGCATAATAATTAACAAAACAGAATCTCAAATATAAAATATTTTATTTACTACGCTTCAAAATTTACCCAAAATATCTTTAGATACCCTTTATATTGATATGTTTTTAGAATATACAGATGAGTACAGATCTTGGTTCTTCGGAAAGGAATACAGCAATTCCAACTCTAAGTAGTAGAACTGAAATCCCCAATATTCAACTAAGGCAATCTGAAAACATTGTTTCACATCCAGGCCATTCACAAGATAAAGAAATTATTTTACAATCCAGAGGAAATGGTAGTCAAACAGAACAGATTTCTTCGGTACGGGGTTACTCTGGCTCTACTGTGCAGAATAATGCAGGGCATCTACCAGTATCTGCCTTCAGTCTTCACGGATTGAACCCTCAAAGCTCAAAACCCCAAGGAGGGGTTTTAGGATCTCCGAGCAGCTCCAGAACATTGCCAAGACTTCAGAGACCTCCAGAATTAAATGAAACTGCTACGCACCATACTAGTCTTGTCCAGAACTCCCAGACAGCATCAATACCTCAATCTTTAGCTCCAACAACAGTTCCAAGATTAACTTCACATCCACAGAATACGATACAAAGCTGTTCATCCTCGTCCTTGCTCCTAACCCCATTGAACGTATCACTGCCCGTAATGCCGGTTAAGACAGCAACTAACCCTTCTTGTCACCAACCTCACTTATCTCAAGATATTGGAAATATTCAAGAAAGGCATCCTAAACCAGGTGGAGAATAAAGGTTTTGATAAAGCTACTTTTTCTTCTCTCTAACATTTTTTTACATTAAAAAAAAACATACAATCTATACCCACTTTTTCTTCTTTTTTACAACCTGAAAGTATAACTTTTTATTTAATTTTCTATCTGCTCATCATTGAATTAGTTTTGATTTTAAGTGACAGAAAATTTAAATTCTTTATGTGATCAAAGTGGAGAAGATGTCATCGTTCTTTTAGCTTGAAACGTGCTCCATTCTAACACTTCCTACTGAGCTATGGCAAGAAATTAGTAAGTTAGTGTTATATAGGAGAATTAATTAAAAAAACAGTTTTAAAAAATTCACGGGTATCTTGTTCATGCTTGATCAGAAAAGGGTAAAAAAGATACCAATGTACATCGGACAAAACGGTGCGGGTCCGTCCTAGTATACGATTTTTGGACCTACCCCCCCCCCCCGCTCCCTTTCCTATCAATGTTGTACATGACCTTTAATCTTAAGTTATTTTGTATTATTTAGGGTTAGGTTAGGTTAAGACAATTTCTGGGCCGACCGCTGCGGCTAGGACAGGCTAGGGGGCCGAGCGCTGTGGCCACTGGTTAGGTTAAGTTAAAACACTTTCTGTAAGATCCATGTACATTGATAGGAGGGGCTGGGGCGAGGGGGGGTCCAAAAATTGTTCTCCAGGAAATTATCAACGGTGCCACTAAATAAAGGGGAGTCATTTTTGAAATCACATCTTCAGTCCCTTTAAAAGTTTTGGTCTATTATTTGCGGATTCTAATATTTGCGTTGTCTGGTATTTGCTCACATTTAGCTGTAAGCCTCACAAGCTTTAAAAGGAATAGAATAGAATTGGGAAGATTAAAACCCCGGTCGGTTATTATATATTGTACTGCACTGTACTGTACTGTACTGTACTGTACTGTACTGTACTGCAGACGTATATATGTAATAAATGCTGTTTGAACATACCTATATTCAATGCGGTTTACATTGTCTAAGGATCTAACTGCGTTAATCCTTAACTACGTAAAACTTGTAATTCCACTAGACTAGGTACGTATTGTGATTAGAATATTGTTTGGCCGGCTATACACAACATATATATATATGTATATGAATGTCTTGTTTTATTTTATAGATAAATATTTATTTTTGTTTTCCATAAAGGTTCATCTCGATTTCATGAAACGGATTCAAGAACAGGCGTATTAGAGTCGGAACAAGAGAAAAAGGTAACAATCACAGATCATGCAGATATTATAAGGGGAGGATAATATACTGTACCGTCGTTTAAAATCTTTTTCTCGAGGCAACCGTTTGGTAAAGAAACCAAATGAATAGCTGGAAGTAGTTGAACTACATAGAGTAAGTTGAACCGCTTCAACTTGAACCGACGGGCACAAGGAAGTGGCTTAACTGGGTCATTGTAGTTCAATCACTTTTCGCTTTTAATTAAATTAAATCCCACACCCATGTTGCAAAGATCGATTTAATATAATAGTTTTTACGAACAATGAGTTCCATAACGTTAAGAAACAAATAATGAGATGGTAATGAAAACTAACTAAAATAATTATCATGTCTCAAAGAAACGAAAAATATTTAAAAGAAACGATTTGGGTCCAAAAAGTCAAAATTTGATAATGGTTTAACAAAAATATTTTGAATAAATATATTTAATAAAAAATGTTCCATATCTTGATTTATATTAAGGATAAGCATATGGCTCCAATCGATAGCAGTGGAGTTTCCCTGGCTGCTGGTCTTCGCTGGTTTTGTAAACTCTGCTCAAGAGTTCATAACTCTAAGGTGAGAACTAGGGTTTCCAGTGGAAGCAAATTTGCTTGCGTATTTTGAAAACTTTTGCTCAAAATCCCGCATTTTTGAGCAAAAATTAATTTTTCAGAAGCAAGCGCAATTCCGCGAAAAAATAATATTGCAACTGCAACAAAATCTTGCAAAATAAAACATTTTACAACGTTTAAATCTCTGCTTCAAAAATTACCGTACAGAATCCACCGTCATTTTTTCCCTCGCAATTTAGACCAGTTTTACACAATTTGTGTCAATTTTTTCGCAGTTTGTTTCGCAAAATGGGCTCAGTTACATTTCATATAGTTTTACATCAAATAATTCCACACCCTATAACACCGTTTCCTATTAGGTTACATTTCCTATAAGGTTACATTTCTTATTAGGGTACCTTTCCTATTAGGTTACATTTCCTATTAGGTTAAATTTCCTATTAGGCTACATTTCTTATCAGTTACATTTCCTATTAGGTTAAATTTTCAATTAGGTAACATTTCCTATTAGGTTACATTTCCTATTAGGTCACATTTCCTATTAGGTTACATGTCCTATTAGGTTACATTTCTTATCAGTTACATTTCCTATTAGGATACATTTCCTATTAGGTTACATTTCCTATTAGGTTACATTTCCTATAAAGTTACACTTCCTATAATAACACGTTCTATAGTAACACTTCCAATAGTTACATTTGCATGCAGAATTTGTGCTCAACGATTTTCCATTCCTCTAATAACCCTATAGTAAGAGAATATTGAACCGAAACATAGCATTTTGCTGATATTAGGTAAGGCGTGGGGAAAGTTTAAGGACGGTACAGTGTTAATAAATGGTTTATCTATGTGGAAGACATATAATTGGAGAAATTAAACATTCCCGACCGTTGATATAAGTTCATTTCATGCATTATATTTAAAATCTTAGTTTGTAGCACTGTCCACTAAACGCTTCTATGTTTGCGGTCAGTGTACTGCAAATTAAGCCAGAACACACTGAAAGTTTAGTTAAGAATGTTTTACACTTTTTCCTTTTTGTGAAAAGTTTTGGTTTGAAAAATGTTCAAATCTGTCAATTTACAAAAAAAGAAGAACTTCTTTTACTAAAGAAAAACAACACTCTCACCTCAATCTTACAGAAAATAGCATTTTTGAAAAGCAAACATTTCAGTGAAATAAAGTAAACAAAGTCTGGTCCTTTTAAAAATACAAATAAATCTTTTCTTTTCAATATCAAAAACATTAATATAAATACACTTGACTTTTAGTAAACTAAGCTAGGTAAATAAACAAGTTTGTAAATTTAGTTTTAAAAATGACCAGATGATTTTGTGTTAAAATTTTTGGGTAATATCGATACATTTGCTAGTTTTAATCAAATGACAATCAAATTTAAGATTTAATTTTTAAGGTGGATTGTCAGCATTATGCTTCTCTTCATAAACCAAGGAATAACAATCTTCATAGTTTTTCTTTTTTTTAAATTTAAAACTTAAAACATGACATCGATTATTTTAATTGAGAGAGAATCAGTGTATTACTTTAGATTTATTTTTAGTTAACTTTGATTATGATTACTTTGTAAAAAATACTGTAAAGCAAAAATTCTTTAAAACTATTGTGTACTTAATCACTCATGGTCACTTTGAGGTAAATTTTATAGTAAACGTGCTAAAAAGTAATCATCGTGCTTTAATGTTAAATAAGCTGTATTTCATAGCACGGTGCTATAAAGTTGTATTGGTTTCCGGATTTTCTTAAACAAATTTCAAGAAAAAAAGTTCAATTTAAATCTTTAAAAAAGATTGAAATTAACTTTTATTTACTTTTGAACCTTCTCGATAAAGAAAACATTTCTGTCCAAAAACTTGTTAGCATGCAAACTAAAATAATAGTGATTATCAACAGTGCACTCTTTCTCTTGAAATGAAGAGAACAAATACAACTGTTTTAAAAATACATTATTTTTCCTTTATCAAATTAAAAGATTTGTTATAGGGAGATTATCCTGAACACAGATTTAGGTAAGAATGTCATGGGCGGACACAGGAATTTACCGAAGGAACTCGGCTCTCGTTAAGAGCTGGTCATTACGTATTCAGCAAAAACCTCTAATTTATGTCATGTAAGGTTTGGCTGCTTCAGATGTTTTTAGAGAGATGTGTCTACTGTCTAAGTCGTGATAATTTTGTGTGAAAGTTTTGAAATCTGACCAAAAACCAACCATTTTCACGTCTTCTGTGTGAACTCTGGAAATGTACGCAATCGGCAGATTTGCAGAATTGGTTCAGTACAGTTTAATAACATAAACGTGAACAGTAATAAAATAAAATCTTAATAATTTTATGCAATCTACTTAAAACAATGTTCATAAAATAAGAATATAAGATTTATGTAGATTTTAAATGTGACGAAGAAAAATTAGTATCTTTGATATTTGCCATACTGCTTTGCGATTAAATTATATTTGTAACTATAGTAACACCAATTTAAATGTTTGCAAATGCTAAAATTTAAATATAAAAATTAAATTTAAAGATTAAATTTTAAATTTAGATTTAAATTTTTTTAAATTTTAAATTTAAATTAATGCAATTTTCATCTTAAAAAACCTTGCGTATATTTTATAATACAGTTTTAATCGTTCTTAAGCATAAAGTTAGTATAATAAAAGATAAAAAATATATTTTTACAAAAGCCTTTTTTTAGTGGAAAAAAAGTATTCTTTTTTTGGAAAATGAGTCAATTTAAAACACATTCAAATATCAAAATACATTTATGTAGTCTATTTTCATCATTTAAACATGGGGATATGCGCATTTTAAAAGAATATTGTGATAACACCAACCCCCTCCCCACCCCCAACATGACCCCCTAAAATGCGCCACTGTGAGGGGGTTAGACCTGAAAGCTGCCCCCCCCCCCTTACTATATTATCTTTATTAGAGAATAAAGAAAAACCGTAAATATTATTATTTAGAAACTGGTATTCCTGATGTTCTTGAAAATAAGCCTGGTGGAATTTTCACAAAGGTAAAATAAGATGTCGTGACATTTCAAAAAAAACATTTTGATAGATGGACATTTTATAGACTGGACATTTCCTTAGGTAGGATATATTTCATAGACAGAATATTTCATAGATAGGAATTTTCAAAGATAGGGCATTTCGTAAAAAGACATTTCGTAGAAAGACATTTTATAGACAGAACATTTGATAGACAGGATATTTTAGAGATGAAATTTCATGGACATGACATTTCGTAATAAGACATTTCGTAGAAAGACATTTTATAGACAGGATATTTCAAAGATAGGAAATGTCATAGACAGGGCATTTCGTAAAAAGTAATTTCGTAGAAAGACATTTTATATACAGGACGTTTTATTGACCTAACATTTCATAGACAGAACATTTAATAGACATGACATTTCAAAGATAAGACATTTCATACACAGGACATTTTATAGAATTGACATTTCAAAGACATTCATGCATAAAAGTCTTCCTGTAAAATGTCCCATCGGTAGAATAACGGAAATTCACAAGCAAATTACTTTAATTAAAGGGAGAGACCGGCTAGACATGATAGTTGAACTAGTGCACTATCGTAGACTGCAGGAATATTTTAGGATTCATATTAGACCTATTAGACGTTTCTACGGTTTATAATTGTTCAGCAAGAGGGCAAATTCAATCTTTAAAATCCTCATGGATTGTCCATTCGATCTAAAAGGGATGATTTTGTAAATCGTTTTTTAAATTATTCAATAGCGACCACGATTCTACAGTGGCCTAATCAGTTGTTTAGGAACTGGTTGACAAAATAAAAGTCAACCGTTATTATCGAAAATATGTAATCTAATTCAGTTATTGGTTTCTGCCATGCACCATTGTTCAAAAACATTTTTCGTAGATTTCTTGGACGACATTTGAAGATTTTGAAGAAATTTGCTAACAAATTCATCAAGAATAAGAAAAGAATTGAGTCTTTGCCACAAATTCCGATTTTCTAATACCTATATCTTTACAACCAGATGATGTAAACCTTTGATATTTCAAACTTAAATTATTTTATCCATCAAAATTCACAATTTTAAATATCTAAAGTCTAGGACATTTGGTTGTAAAGATATATATGGATTAATTATCAGAGTTTGTAACACAAACTCAATTCCTTTAGTATAATGATTAGAAATATATTATTCTAACATTGATTTATTGACAAATTTCTATTGAGAAATTTCAGAATAGCTTAATATGATACATACAATAAGTTTAAAATATCTTTTTTAACTGCAAATTCAGATATTCTTTGTTAAACGTCAGAGAGACGTCACTTTCAATCCCATCTGCATGTTAAATAAAGTTTTTATCATTAAGCTTTCGACACAACTTTCAATTGTGATTAAAAAACATATCATGGATAAACCCATCTTAAAACTAAAACTTATATTTTGACATTCATTTTTTTGTTTTCGTTTGTGAGAATCTATATTGATAAGCATGCTCAAAAGAATGAATGCAATAAAATATTTTCATTATTTTTACAAATATGTTGATTGTGAATATTCAGTGATAATCTAATATTCTGACAACTCTTTATTAATCATCAGTCCAATTCTATTGGTGTTGGGAATTTTCCCAAAGACATTTTCACAAGTTGCAACTACCCAAGTGACAATTTCTCAAAGGTTAGGTTAGGCCTTCTGAGGCGACGCAGGTTGTATTAGGGGTGGGGCGAGCGCTGTGGCTAGGATGAGCTAGGGGGCCGAATGCTGCGGCAAGGGCAGACTTTGGTAATTGACGCTTGTGAAATCGCACATTTGGGAAGTTGCCACTTGGTAAAATACCATTGGGAAGTTGCCGATTGGGAAAATGCCTTTAAGAAAGTACCTAACATCTTTCTATTTACCCCTAGGTTGGTGTTAGAGCATTTACTAGATTTGGTCCTATTCTTGGGAAACAAACAAGGTAAAAAATAAAAGCTTGGGATAAGATTTAATCAAGTAGTTGAAGTATTAAAATATTAACATACTTGACATATTGATGATATTATAAGTGTGTACAATTTGAAAATAAAAAGGTCAAATTTATGCAAAATTACTCGAACAACTTTGTGACCAAATTACTATGATGAGAAAAAAACAATTTATTTAGAATTTAAATCTTGCTCTTTTCCATATCTTTTTGGAAATAGCAGTTATATGATGAATAAACTTACAAGACTTTTACTTTAATTTGACCTGAATTCGCGAGCAGTTCTTAAAAAGTTTTATTTTATTTTAAATATTAAAAAATATAACTTCAAGTAAAGGAGTTGAGTTTTTGCCACAAACTCTGATTTTCAAATCTCTATATCTTTGTAACCCAAAGTCGTAGACCTTTGATATTTCAAACTATAAATACTTATAGATAAAATAATATAAGTTTGCACCATTAGGTTGCAAAGATATTGAGATCAGAAGATTTGAGTTTGTGGCAAAAACTCAATTCCTTTCCAAAATTTAAAGTGAATCTCTGATTCACAACGATACCTTTAAAATCCTTTTCTGATAAATGAATGAGCTATCCATTTTTCACTTTTGAAATTTAATTACTTTAAATGTTTGTTTCTCTAAAAAATTGACTTGCGGATTTCTGCTTAAAGGAACAATGGAATGAATCTCTTTTCAAGTATGAAAAACAACCATATCTTCTATTTTTATTAGATTAAAAAAAATCGAGCATGTTTCTCCTCAAATGGAAGGTCATAGAAATCCCAACGTTTAAACATTATCTTAAGGGATCCCCTTTTATTTCACGCCCCCCCCCCTCTTAAGTCCTTTCCTTAACTGGTTTAAGGTTGGGGATGGGATTGGCCAGGCAGAGGAGGGAGGAGGAGGGAGAAGGGGACGCACTTTCTTCTACTTTTTTCTATTTCTAGCCTCACAATAATACAAAATGTGTAATGTGTGTATATATACCTTTCACGCAAAAATCTAATAGCATTTGGTCAATAACACCTTTTTAACTGAAGCTACAACGCGTTGTTGTAGCTTCAAAATTAAAACGTGTTGGGAAAAATAGATTTTCAAGCACTTTACATCAAAGCATAAGTGAGTAAGTACTACTGTAAAACCAAACGCCACGAGGTTGCGACATTTCAAAGTTGATCCAGTCTAGAAAATTGATCCATAACTTTTATAGCTTTCTGAATCTCTCCCTTCTCGTTCATCGATATCTTGAATATATACATATATATATACTAACCATAGTGTACTCACACATTTTCTCAGTAATAAATGCCTCTAATAACCCGTTTTC